AAAGCCCCAGTTTCCTCTTCAAAACACTGCTTCTTTTCAGCCATCAGCTGCGCAATCAGCCCCTGCTTCTTCAGAGTCTTCTAGACAGTACTTGTGCCGCTCGCCACCACCTGTGCTTCTTCCCAGCTCCCCTGCAGCTGCCAGTGAGCTTTCATTTGTATGTGTGATGTTTGTAACATGGGGAGTGCCTGTATTGTATGTTTTGTACTGGTTGTGCCCTTCCCATTCCGAATGAGGAGTAGGGTTGGTCGCTCAGTTCATAACAGGTGTTCGTAACGCAGAGGTTTCTCCTGTACCAAAGCCTCACTGTGTTTCATTAAATGACAAGTTTGATGGAGTCAAATGCTAGGAGGGACCAGGCAATCAATCCCTGTAACCTCCAATAGAACCCAAGCCAGAGACCTGCCCTGAAATAAACCTTAAAGCAGAAATTGTAGGATAAACCCTCAATCTTGATTGAAAAAGTGACAGTAATGAAAAATCCACCATAACCCTTGGTAAATGGTTCCAATGCTTAATTACTCTCATGGTTAAACATTTATGCCTTAATAACAGAGTCACCCTGCATTGCTCAGGTCCATAATTCAGGAATTCCATTAAGCATCTTTTGTTTCTTCATCATTATAAGCACTAGTCATTCACTACAGTTTAACAAAAAAGGGCTGTAGTAAATGTGGTTTGCAATAACATTTGTCTTCTAGTTTACAAGCCCTAAGCACTGATGTAGCTGTGCCAAAACAGAGTACTGTTCCAAATGTCTCCGTTTTATCTCTTTTGGAAGGTTTATTGAGAAGCAATCCAATTCCAGGTTCATCCTATGTTTCTGGCTCATCTTGGTTCAGTCTCTTTCAATATTTGTTTATTATGTCAGTTGTGAGGCCTGTACTTGCTTTGAAAGTCTCAGAGGGCAGCCAAGTTAGTCAGTAACTTGAAAAACAACTTTTAAAAAAACAATGAGTAGACTCAAGATCATCTCATCTGAAAAAGTGGGTTTTGCCCAGGAAAACTCATGATACTATATGTATATTTTTGTTAGTCTCTTAGGGTATGTCTACACTACAGCGCTAATTCGAACTAACTTAGTTCGAATTAGTTAATTCGAACTAAGCTAATTCGAACTAACGCGTCTAGAACTACAAACTAGTTCGAATTAGCGTTTTGCTAATTCGAACTAGCAAGTCCACATTGAGTGGACCCTGAACAGGGCTTAAGGATGGCCGGAAGCAGTGCCGGCAGGACATCAGAGGAGGACGTAGAGCGTGGAGATGCTGTCTCAGGCTAGCCGAGGGCTGCGCTTAAAGGGTCCCGCCCCCCACCCCGGACAGACAGTTCTAAGGGGTACCCCGCTTGCAAAGCAGTCCTGGCTTGGATTGCCCGGAGTACCTACACTGGGCACATCACACCACTCGGCCATCAGCCCGGCTGCATTTGCCGCAGGCTGCCATCTGGGGAGAGGGGGCAATCGGGGGGCTGCAGGAGAGCTTCCACCCCTAGAAGCCCGCAGAGCCAGCCCAGTCCTCCCCATCGGGGGCTCGTACCCCATTCCTCCCTCACCTCCTTCCAGTTACCCTTCCCTAGCCCCCCTTCTTATTGATGTACAAAATAAAGATAACGTTTCTTCCAACATTGACTCTGTCTTTATTGAACAAAACTGGGGGAGACTGGGAAAAGGAGGTGGGAGAGGGGAAGAGAAAGGCTGGGAGAGGGGAGGGCAACTAAAATGATCAGGGGTTGGGAACAGGTCCCAGATGAAGAGAGGCTACAGAGACTGGGACTGTTCAGCTTAGAAAAGAGGAGATGGAGCGGGGACAGGATAGAGGTCTCTAAAAGCAGGGGTTGGGTGGAGAGGGTGCATTCATAAAAGTTCTTCATGAGTTCCCATAAAGAAGGACTAGAGGACACCAAAGGAAAGGAATAGGTAGCAGGCTTCAAACTAGTAACAGAAAGTTGTTCTTCACAAAGCAAAGAGTCAACCTGTGGAACTCCTTGCTGCAGGAGGCTGTGAAGGCTACAACTAGAACAGAGTTTAAAGGGAAGTGAGATCAAGTCATGGAGGTTGGGTCCATGGAGTAGTCTTAGCCAGGGGGTAGGAGTGGTGTCCCTGCCCAAAGTTTGTGGAAGGCTGGAGAGGGATGGCACGAGACAAATGGCTTGGTCACTGTCTTCGGTCCATCCCCTCCAGGATTCCTAGGGTTGGCCGCTGTCGGCAGACAGGCTACTGGGCTAGATGGACCTTTGGTCTGACCTAGGACGGCCATTGTAAGCTCAGGGCTCAGGGTCGGGGGTCTCAGTGGACCCCCTTGATTTTCATGCACACCTGCTCCTGGGTGGCCAGGCTGGCAGCTCTCCTGCCCTAGACGGCCACTTTCCTGTGCCTAGTGCGGAGATCGTGGACGAGGTCCATGATGTCCGCACTAGCCCAGGAAGGTGCCCGCCTCTTGCGGTCCAGGGCAAGCTCCCGGGAGCCGCCAGCCTGGTCCCGGGAAGAGGGGGTGGGCTGGGGGACATCGGGTGGTTGGCTCTGTGCCGTGCCAGGTGCAGGGTCTGCTGGCTGGGTGCTGGCAGGCTTGCACCTGGCATGGGCACTGTAGCCAGCCCGTGCCCCTTTAAGGGGTCCGGGGCCGGGAGGGGGGCATAGAGTTTCCCTGGTGTTGGCCAGAGTGGCCACCAGGGAAACCTGGGGAGGGCTAGCCTCCCACTAGTTCGAATTAAGGGGCTACACACCCCTTAATTCGAACTAGTAAGTTCGAACTAGGCTTAATCCTCATAAAATGAGGTTTTCCTAGTTCAAACTAAGCGCTTCGCTAGTTCGATTCAAATTCGAACTAGCGTAGCGCTAGTGTAGCGGCTATGAATGTTAGTTCGAACTAACGTCCGTTAGTTCGAACTAACATTGTAGTGTAGACATACCCTTAGGGTGTGTCTAGACTACAGGGTTTTGTTGACAAAAGTGGGCTTTTGTCAACAAAACTATACCTGCGTCTACACTACACCAAGTTCTGTCAACATAACGGCAGTTTTGTCGATGATGGTAAACCTCATTCTACGAGGAATAATGCCTTTTGTCGACAGAGTTCTGTCAACAGAAGGTGTTATTGCATCTATACAGTCCTTTGCGTCTACACTCTCATGTAGTCTAGACGCTGGATGTAGTCTAGACACTTTGTCGACAGAAGCTTTGTTGACAGTATCTATAAAAGCCTGTAGTCTAGATGTACCCTTAGATGCCACAAGACTCCTCGTTGGTTTTTTACAAGTTGTACTTGCTTTGCTGATTCTGTCTATTTTCTGTATGATTTTATGACAAGCAAGCCCATTGCAAGCACATCCCATTTTCCTGGCACTACCAAATCCTGGCCTGGCTTTAAGTTATGAGACGGGGAAGCGGTATACCAAATTTGGTGGTCCTAGCTCGTACTGTTTTGGATGAGTTTTTGATCAAACAAACTCTTTAAAATATAGAGTAGATTCTCAGTCTGAATTTGTCTAGCTTTTATTTCCAGCCATTGGATCGTGGTAGATCTTTCTTCACTATTCTGAAAAGCCCATTATTAAATATTTGCTCCCCCTTGTAAGTACTTATAGACTGCAATTAAGTCACCCTATAACTATAATTACTCAGGCTAGAATTTGGCCAAGACACTTTACTTAAAAAGCAATGAATTATTGAATGATTGCAAATATCTGTGAAGACAAGCGGGGCTTCGCAGTCAGCACTAATGGCAAGGGGAGACTCCCAGCTGAGCTCCTGTCCCTCCCAGTGCAGAACCCACTAGCACAGTGGTCACCAGCCAGTCGATTGGGAACTACTGGTAGATCTTGGAGCCTCTGACAAGTGATCCTGACTGGTCTGGCCAAGAGGCTATCAAGCCCATCACTTCAGCTGTCTCTTCCCCTACTGCTGTTCACCTCCTGCCCTTTGCCTTGGAGCTATCCCCACAGGAGCCTCCAGCTTTCTATGCAGGGCAGGTGAGGGTGAAGGGTGCTCATGCCAAGGTGCCCCCTCTCCCACTCTGTATCCTATTTCCACAAAGCAGAGAGGGGGGCAGAACAGGACTTGGGATGGAGTTTGCTGGCTGCTTTAGGGAGTGGGCCTGGGCAGGGGTGAGCCTGCCTTAGCCCTACTGCACCACCAACCAGGAGCCACCTGAGATAAGCTGTGCCCTGATGGAGCCCACATCTTGAACTCCTACCCTAGTCATGAACCCCCTTCCTGTACCCTAAGTCCCTGCCCCAGCCCTGAGCACCCGTGTATCCATACCCCTCCCAGAGCTTGCACCTAGAACCCCCTCTGAACCCCAATTGCCTGCCCCAGGCTCAACTCAGAGCCCCTCCTCCACTCCAGATCCTTTAATCCAAGACCAGAGCCTGTGCCCCAATGCCTGGTGAAAGGGAAGGAGGATGGGGGAGGGAGGGAGGATGGAATGAGCAGGGGGCAGGGCCTCCGAGAAGGGGCAGAGGTTGGATTTGAGGTAGATCTTGGATTGCACTTAAATTCAGAAAGTGATCTCATGCTTAAAAAGGTTGGAGACCACTGGTTTAATATGTAGTGACAGACTCTAGGAGCTCAACCTATTTGCTTTAAGAGAAGGTTAATACAGGAAACTCCCGATTTCCGACCACCCAAATTGCAAAACTCTTCCCCTCCCCCACTTATAACCATTTTTGTAAGTGTGGAAGGGGCCGAAAACCCCCGACTTATGTTGTTGGCCCACATTTTTGACAGCGTATGACACTTATCGTAAATGAGGGTTTGAATTACGACGCCCACGACTTGCGATGCTTCCCTGGGAACCAATCACATCACAAGACAGGGGCCGCCTGTAGTGACTTGATCATATTCTGTCATGGCAAACATTAATTTGATTCAGGGCACTTCTGTCTAGCAGAGAAAGGTCCACCATGATCCAGTGGCTGGAAAGAGAAGCTAGACAAATTCAGACTGGGAAATAAGGTGTAAGTTTTTTACAATTTCTCAGGAGCTGTGTTGGATGCCTCATTATGCGCAGGTTTTAAATCAAAATAGGATATTTTTCTAGCAGGCTTGCTACAAGCAAAAAGTCAAACTACATAGTCACTTTGTGGCCTTACTGGGTATGGATCGATGGAACTATGATGAAAGCTCTGTGCACCAGTAAACCCCCACAGAGTTAGCCCTTTACTCAGATATGCATGGAGCTCTAATTTTTCACACTATTAGTGTTTTGCTGCACATATGTTGATTTCCTGAAACTGTGCAAGCATAAATATAGAAACAAAACAAGTCCCACACATTCCCCTCCCTCATACGTCCAATCAGCTCCATACTGATCAATGCAGCTTTGCCTTTTCTTCAGTTCCTCCAGGTGATAACAGACCGACATCACACTACTGCTCTCCAGTTTCTTTCGTTTCAGCCTGCCACTTCTCCTACACAGCTCCTGAGGAGAGGGAAGTGTTGGAGGGATGGACAGCACTTCCCAGGAGCCTGCATCTATCTGAGCATCAGGCCTGTGGATGGCAGAGCTAGACATCTAGGAGATAAAGAGAACACAGGAACTGCTAGTCTGGATCAGACCCAGTATCCCCTCTCAGAAGTGGGCTAATCTGCCCCACAGTAGGTCTCATCCCAGCCTCTAATTGCTAGGGATTGGCTTAAACAAGGAAGCACAAAGTCTAATATCTCATAGCATTAGCTAACATACCTCTGGTTATTCTCATCCATATACATGGCCAGCGCCTCTTTGAATCTTGCTGCATCCTCTGCCTCAGTAACATCAAGGGGCAGAGTGTTCCGCAGGCTAGCAATGCACTGCCTGGGAAATCAATCCATTTTGAATTCACCCTTTTTCAGTTTCATGCATGTCCCTGCATTCTTGTATTGTGAGGCAGAGAGAGTAGGCATTCTCTTCTCTACGCCTTTCATGGTTTAGCAAATCCCCTCTTCTTCACTTCCTTTTTGTGGGGAACAGTCACAGTCTTTTCCATCTCCCTCCAAAGGAGAGTTTTTCCAGGTCTTAATGGAGATCATGCCTACACTCAGGTAGGAAATGGTTTTCCCTGTCTTGTGAAACTTTCCCATTTTGCATCAGGATAAAATTGAGACTTTTTCACAGAAAAAGAAAGTGAGTGAACGAAAGACTTTGTAGCATTTCTCATCTAAATTAGTCAAAGCAAGGTGTGATCCTGGGTCTCCTCCAAGGTTCAGTGCCCCAACCACCAGACTATTCTGGGGTCCCTCTCTCTTTTCTAAGCATCTTCCAACACCTGCCATTGGATCCTAAACTTTAAAATCAGGAACCACCCAGAAACTATAAATAAACATTTAAGTTGTGGGAACACCTAGAAGCTAGTCAGGCTAGAGGAACCCAGCTGTACCAGATGCTGTACAGAGATGTAGTCCCTGTTCCCAAGCTATGAGATATCACAGGTGGATGAGACAAAAAAATCAGGTCATGGTGGGAGGCAGTGTGACAAAAATAATGACACTTGCATTTCTTAGCCAGTCAGGAGCAGTGTTTAAGCTTGCAGTGTTCTGCAGACTTTCGAAGAGGGGCACAGAGGCACATGCAGGAGCTATCTGATGGGGGTATTCAATCAGTGTTGCACAAATGGCACTGGTGTGTTTCTTGAATGGCTGTAAAGTCTGGTCTACACTACAGACTTATATTGGTATAACTGTGTTGCTCAGGGGTATTCACATCTGAGTCGAAAACAAAGAGAGAAAGCAGACTGCTTCCTGAGTCAGCAGCTCACTTGGCCACCTCGGCAGGATGATTACTCAGGACACAGATTGCATGCTGCCTTATAGACACCCCTGGCCAGGCACCCCTAAGGATTTACATTGTCAGTTTTTTTACAGTTTTCAATCCACCACAGTTTCATGAAAACAAACTGTCCCGGCTCAGATCAGCAGATGTGCTCTTAGCTGTACACCAAGAAAGGGCTGCTGGCCAAGAATTTGCTGGTATGGGGCCCACCACCAGAGCCGCAAATGGTACCAGAATGTAAGTCCAGTACACAGGAATATACTTCTGTCCCACCACCCCATCCTTACCTCCTCCCTCCCCAAATCAGGCTGCTCATGTTCCTCTTGCTTTGCCTTGGCCCCTGACTCCCACCAAGATTTCTGGCCTCTTCTAATAAGCATGCCAGTTGCAAATTGCTCTTACCACCCGCTACACCCTCCATCTAACTGCTAATGAGCTAAAAATCAACTCCCCAAAGCCAAGAGCTTTCCTCATTAACAGGAATAGCAGTGCTAAATGGGGAACAACAACAACATTCAGAGATGCACTCGGTGCCCTACAAAGATAATTAATCTAAAGAGCTAGTCAGTGGCAGGGGGGAGAAAAACACAGCTTGCATTTTTAATTTTTTTGAGAGAGAGATTTACTGGTACCTCCTCACTGCTTTGCAGGTAGGCGGTATATTTAACCATTCTCTGAAAACATCTCAGGGACTTGTAATCTGGTACAACGCCAGGCTTTGGAGTGAGAGGGGCTGTGCTAGCTGGGGACTATCCAACAGAAGTAGGGAGGTCACCCATGTCTACCTTGCTGGGATACAGCATCCAGTTGGGATGTGTTGACACATTGGAAAGGGTTCAGAAAAGAGCTGTGAAAATGACATAAGAGTTGGACAGTCGAGAGATTAAAGAAACTCAATTGATTTTATCCAAGAAGAGGTGATTTGATCTCGGTCTATCAATACCTCCTTTGTGAGAAGATTTTTCATAGGGTTATTTCACCTGGCAGCAAAAAGCAGATGGAGATCCACTGTCTGGAATCTGAGGCTAGATAAATTCCTAGAGCCCTGCAAATCCATGGATGTGAATTCAGGTATCTGAGGCTCATTTTTGCAGATATACATGTGGACATAAATTTTGTATCTAGAACCCTGCAAATTTGCAGATATCTGCTTTATATCCATGGGTATCCACATTTGCAGATGTGGATGCAGATATCCATGGATCATTTTTATGGATGCATATGCGGATATATATTTTGTGTCTGCTCAGGGGTCTACAAATTCAAACTAGAAATAAGAGACCAATTTTTAGCAAGGAGCAGTATTCACCAAGGGATCAATTTATCAAGGGAGATAGCAGATTCAATCTTTACGTCAAGGCCGGCTGCCTTTTACTCAAACATCTAGATGTCTGGGGCTTGAGATCCCATGACCTGCATTGCACAAGAGGTCAGACTAGTTCATCTAATGAGTTATTCTGGCTTCAAACTTTGTCAGGAAGCCTCTGATTTCCCAGGTCAGCCGCTGACCTGGATTAACTCGCTTTCTGTCTTTGTGCCTGTTTCCACTCCCACCTCTGTGTCTTATCTTTTGTGTCACGGAGACACCAGTCAAGGCTTCATAGCCAAAATTAAGGTGAGTTTTGCACTTAAAGCTGGGCCCAACCTTTTTATTAAAAAAAAACCCAAGGAGTCTTGTGGCACCTTAAAGACGAACAGATTTATTTGGGCATAAGTTTTTGTGGCCCCACACAAGCTTATGCCCAAATAGATCTATTAAGGTGTCACAGGGACTCCTCATTGTTTTTGCAGATGCAGACTAATATAGCTATCTCTCTGAGACTTGTAACTGTCTTATGATTTCTGCAAAATACAATTCATCCTTCCTAAAATTCCAGCTCTTGATCTTTGGGCATGCAATGAGGTGGTTAAACATTTTCAGGCAAACCTGTTAATTAGTTTATGAGTTAAAATTAATTAACACAGTGTCCTTTTAAGAAATTTAGCAGCTTGTCTCAGATCTCCTTTTGTAGGTCCCTAATGATATTAGCAACCAAATAACACTGACTCTTCCCACATTTTTAAAAACTTGTGGAAATCACGTTCACAGGCCATCTTTGGAGACACTGAGGATTTTTGGTCACTTAGGCTGGCATTTAGACTGTCCACTTTTTGAGGCAGAAACTAATTCCTAGGGAGCAAATACAACAGGGCCCTGATCTCACACAGCTGTGTACAATGGGAAGCCCGATCTCAGTTGGGGTCCATAGTTGGTACTGTATTTCAAATAAAAATGTATCTCTGTGGCTGGAGCATACATATGCACATTTCAGACATGACTCTCAACAAATTTCAAAAGTTTAAATGCTAAATACTCTTTTCTACTGTACTTTCTCTGCCAATCCCTACTACCCCCTGCTGCGCACACACCCTCCCCTGGAGATCCATGAAGCCATCCTTTGCGGGGCTCAGCATTACAAAGTGAACATTTTTCAGAAGGAAGGGGGGAGGTAGATGGCGGAATCATTGCCCACACAAATTATGGAAAGCAATTACCATATGCATAACTTCAAATCATTAATCGTGGGGGCTAACTCCATTACTACACCAACTGATGAGTGGGTGAGAGGGACTGTGGGGGAGATGGTTTGTGTCAGGAATGTCTTGGGGGAGGAGAGAGAGAGACCATAGCAAAGAGAGGAGAGAAATTTGGGGCCTGAGTGAACATCTGTTGCTCAGATCACCGTTAGCTTCTACTTTGATACTCAAGGGACTGATGACTATGCAGGTACACAAGGTATTTGTCATGTGCCTGCTGGAGATAAATTCCATGCACACTCAGGGAGCCTCAGAAGGGCAGTAATTGGCAGGCAAAATAACATGAGTAATATTTTTAAAGAGAAGGGAATCGGGGAGGTGAGGTGGGAAATAGCTTTTTCACTAGCCATGACAATTTAGAACAGCTACTCTCATAGTCCTGGTAGCAATAAACAGGAAAAGAGGTAAAATATTTTTATCCAGGGAGCTGATGCTCCTGTGTGAGCCCTCCCTCCCACAACTCTTTGAGAATACGAGCTCAATGTAGAGCCCAGTTCCATGGATGTAAATCTGGAGGTACTCCTCTGAAATTCACACAGTGAGGACCAAACTGGTATCTGGAATGACTCCGGTGAAGGCTTGAAGTCAAATTTGCTCTCAGTTGCATTGATATAAATCTGGAGGGACACCACTGAAGTCAGAGGGGTTGCTCTGGACTTACACAGTGTAAATGCAATCAAAATCTGGCCCAGTTTGGATCTAGACTGCACAGCACCCAGGACAATGGAGTCACAATCTTGGTCAGGGTCTGTGTGGCCCCCCCATACAGCAGTGTATAAGAAGCCCTTTGATCGGGTAAGGAATCAGTTTCCCATTTTTCATGTCATGACTGCACTCAGAAGGGTTTGGAACCTATGGAGCTGTGAGCAAATTAGGTTTGCAAAAACCTCACCAATCCAGATGAATTCTATTTGCATGTGCCTATTTTTACACGCTATATTAGTTCCACTGGAGTTGAGCAAATAATTAAAAAACCCTTGTGCCTATATGGAAACATACCAGCGGGGGTGTTGCTTCCCTGTATTCCTTCATCCAATGCGGGCTGAAAGATAAATAAATGCAGCTTCAGCTGCGACTTCATGATTCCTAAAGATGTTCGTTAGTAACTTGGAGAGAAAATACATTCATTAGCCAGCAGCACATGCTGGAGAAATAACCGAAGGGTTTGGATAAAAGCGGCAGCTCAAATCTTGGCAGATGCTTTTCAAACACCCACTGTGATTAATTCCATCATCTGTATAACTCAGCAGTGTCCAAATGTTGCAAAACCAATGACACACCACTGGTGTCCAATTTGCATTGAATTTGCATAATGCCTAATCCATTATGCTAATGACACCTAACCTGAGAACGAATGGGAGAAGCATGAATATATATGGTATAAAGGGAACAATAATAAAGAGACATAGAGATTGTAAGCTGCTTGGAGCAGAGATTGTCTTTTTCTTCTCTATTTGTACAGCATCCAGCATACCAGTCTATGGCTGAGGCTAATAGACACTACAGTAATACAGATAACAATAATACAATCACGTTCTTACATGTCATTGTTTCTAATAAAATAACAATGAAACACCCCAACTGAAGTTAGGTCCACACTCTGCTGACATGTAGCCAGAAGCAGTCCCTGACCCAGAAAGATTTCAATCTGGGAAACAGAGACAAAGGTCGGGAGGGGAAACTGGGCACAGAGTGTGGCAGCAACTTGCCATGGCATTGGTTGAGCTAAACTAATGGGAGAGAGGGAAGGTGGGACAGCTACACTAGGGTCCCAAGCTCAGAGGTTACCCCTTGAAATTATCTGTAACATCTGTGTAAATAATGGGATTTCAGGGAACATGGAGTGTTGGTGCCTCAAATTTCTTTCTATAGCATAGAGCAGTGGTCACCAACCAGTCGATTGGGATCTACCGGTAGATCTTGGTGCCTCTGACAGGTGATCCTGACTGGTTTGCCCAAAAGGCTATCAAGTTCCAGCACTTCAGCAGCTCCCCCCTCCCGCCCCCCTGACCGCTGTACATCTCCTGCCTTTTGCCTTGGAGCTGTCCCCTCAGGAGCCTTCTGATTGCTGTGCAGGGCAGGGGAGTCAGAAGAGGGGTGCTGATGTCAGGGTGCCTCCTTCTCCCACCCTGTATCCTATATCCACAGGGCAGAGAGGGGGCACAACAGGACTTGGGATGGAGTTTGCTGGCTGCTTTTGGGAGTGGTGCAGGGCCAGGACAGGGGTAAGCCTGCCTTAGCTCCACTGCACCATCACCCAAGAGCCACCTAAGGTAAGCAGTGCCCAGTCAGAGCCCACATCCTGAAACCCTACCCCAGTTATGAACCCCCTCCTGCACCCTGAGAACCCCTGCATCCAAACACCCTCTGGCATCTAGAACCCCCATGACACCCCAACTGCCTGCCCCAAGCTCAGCTCAGAGCCCCTCTCACACTCCAAGTCCCTTAATCCAAGACCAAAGCCTGCACCCCAACCCACTGCCCCTGCCTGGTGAAAGGGATAAAGGGTGGGGGAGGGAGGAGGGAGTGAGCAGGGGCGGGGCCTCAGAAAAGGGGCAGGAAGGAGGTGGGGCAAGAGTATTTGGGATTGAGGTAGATCTTGGATTGCACTTAAATTCAAATAGTGATCTTGTGCTCAAAAAGGTTGGAGACCACTGGCATAGAGCCACTTGCCAGTTCAGGGAATAGATGGTGTTTATTAAACTAGCCAGGCCAATTAAGCCCAAAGCATTTCCATTTCACAGAGCTGGGTTGTAATCAATGGAGTTTAAAAAGCCAGTCCCACAACCGTTCAGCAGAGAAGCTATTGTTAGAATCCGCCCGTGTGCTGCCGTACCATAGCGAGGCACATGCATGAAAGGATTATCTAACAGGGTCGAATATGCTTGCATTCGAGCTATCACCATAATATAATCAGGCAGAGAAGAAAGACAAGGCGTAGGAAGTACATCATTCCCTACCCTGGCCACTGGCTAAGCTGGCTCCAAAATTCATCGCTGTGGTAGCACATGCCTTGATGATGGGTGGGAAGCCCCATGGTACCAGCTCTTGGGTTATATCGACGTACCATCCTGGACTGCCTGTAAGCAAGCATGCAAGCGGGAAGTAATAAATAGAAGTGAACAGGGGGAGAAAACTGGGAGTATGTTTTAAAGGAAAAACTCTCAAGATAAACTTAATATATTTAAAGAAATGCAAAATAGTTGCTTGCCAATGTTACTCAACATGGCCCTGATTTGATTGATAGATCCATCCATCCCCACTTATATTTGTTGCTCTGTTCCTACCCATACACATTCATCCATCCTGTGCAAAGCCATCCATCTAGCCTCCTCCATGCACATCCATCCAGACCTAGCTGTCCATCTACAGAGATTAGGTGGATAAATAAATTAATGGAGATTGTCTATCTCCTAGAACTGGAAGGGACCTTGCAAGGTCATTGAGTCCAGTCCCCTACCTTCACAGCAGGACCAAGTACCAACCCTGGCAAGTTTTTGCCCCAAATGGCCTCCACAAGGATTGAACTCACAACCCTGGGTTTAAGCAGCCTAACCTCAAACCACTGAACTATCCCTCCCTGAAACATAGCTGCTTAAGTTTCAGAGAGGTAGCTGTGTTGTCTGCTTAAGGACTTTGGTGAACCAAAGTTTCTATGTACTTGAGAATCAGTATTATTTATTTATACACAGAGAAGAGAGAAGTGAAGTGATTTTCCCCAGTATCATGTAGCAAGAGCCTCCCCTCTTGGTTAAACATCACTCCCTTCCCAGAACTGGGGGCAGAACCCAGGAGTCCTAGCACCTAGCCTTTCCCGCTGTAACCCCATAGTCTCCACTCCCTTCCCAGAGCCAGGGAGAGAACCTGAGAGTCCTGTGTCCCAGTCCCCCTGCTCTAATCCACCAGCTGCTACTCCCATAGAGGCCATGAATATTCAGGGCCAAATGAAGGAGCAGGGAGGGGGAGCATTTCAGCTCCAGAAACTTTAACGGCCACACAGATGAATTCAGATCCAGCAATGTTAATTGCAACACAGCCGGAGTGTAACTGTGATGAACTCAGAAGCTGGGAGCAGCAGGGCCTTTGCAGCAGGAAGTTTGTTTATAAACCAAGGCAGGGTAATTACGGATCATTCGATGACCCCAAAAGCATTGTCAGGTTCTCCAGTCAAAAGAAAAGAAACAAAAAAATGGGCTAATGGGAGTTTTGCTAGGGTCTGTGGAAGCAAAGTCCGAGGGTGCTAGATACAGTTAACATTCTTTAAACCTTTTAAAACTAAAACCAAAACCTCCTGATTTAAAAAAGATCAAGAAAGGATGAGGAATAAAAAGAGAATACAGGCAGAAGCCCATCAACAGAATGGGACTATCCAGTTTACTATGCTCAATGTAGAATGTATGATTACGTGCCCCTGGGCAGATGGCATGTGTGTGCAGTTGGTGCAAGGAGCTCCTAGCCCTCAGGGAGACCAGGGTGGCTGAATTGGAGAGGCTCAGGGAGACAGAGAGGAACACCGATGAGATTTTTCACGACACAGTAGAATTGTCCCACCTCCAGTCAGACATCCTTTGTTGTTGAGGAAGGTGAAAGTCACAGGGAAGGAGACTATCCAACTGGAGCAAAGGGAAATGATGATTCCAGAGTTGGGGCCCTCTTTCCAGATGATGTTGTGGTATCCTCTCACACTGTAAATACCTTTCTGGGAAGGGAACTCCAATTATTAGGAAGATACAGGATTTAGTAATGAGGGATTCAATCATCAGAAACAGACAGCTGGATTTGTAATGGCCAGAAGAATCACTTGCTGTCATGGTGTGAGGATTGCAGATCTCTCAAGATATCTGAATAGACTTTTATGTAGTACTGGGGAAGAGCCAAGTGCTCGTAGTACATGTAGGTACCAATGGCATACAGAAGGATAGGAAAGGGGTTCTGGAGGCCAAATTTAGGCTTCTAGGTAAAAAATTGAAATTCAGGATCTCAGTGGTAGCATTCTCTGAAATGCTTCCACTTCCACATGCAGGGCCAGGTTGACAGGCAGAACTGCAGGGACTCACTTTATGAGATCAATAGTGTAGGGAGGAGGGGTTTAGATTTGTTAAGAACTGGGAAAACTTTTGTGAAAGTGTGACGGGG